TGATTATTATTTTTTGTGTTTATATGGTGTTAATTTAAATTTAATTATCTTTTAATGACTACAACTAAGAATCAAATAATTTAAATAATATGTATTTAATGATGTTTTAATAACTATTACTTTTTATGTATATTTAGTACTCCCTTGTCTTAAAATCACTATAATTTTAACATTTGAAAAAATAAATCAAAATAAATTATGTATTTTACTTTTTAATACAATATTAATTATTATTTTTTAATAATTCGTTCTTTATAAATTATTCAACTATCACAATTAAAAATATCTTAAAAGATAAGATATTTTAGTAAGATATTTTACTATGCATTGTAAAATCCAAATATACATGTATATGTGCACCTGTTTGTAAATGAGGTAACTTTAATATTATTTTCAATTAGGAAAAATTAATAAATATTAATGAGATTTTAATGCCTACTATTTTTTTTGTACTTGTAGTATACATCCTAAGTCTTATGTGAATTTCCAAACATCCTATCTTTTTTATTAGAAAATAAAAAATAATAATAAAGTATATTTTATTTTAGTAGGCTTAAACTCTTTATTAGTTTGGATTTATAAAATAAAGTAAAGTTTTTAATTAAAATAAAATTGTTTTAGAAAAAAAAATGAACCAGGTTGAGTAATCATGATCTAACAAGTTAAGTGAAGGGTTTTGGGCTTTTAGAAGCCCAACCCAAAGCTTAACTTAACAAAAGGTGTGAAGTCATAATACACGCTTCAACTTATGTTTTTTTGGTTTCTATCTTGGAACAGAGAACTATAGAGGGACATCACTTATTGCCATGAGTATTGAGAAGCGATATAATTGAGGCTTAAAAGCAAAATATCACCAGTTTTGTCCTCTCCTTTACCTAGAAGGGGCCACCGTAACATACTAGATCGAGGGTAAGGCGGAAAAATCGGCATTATGTAGTACTGTATTACCGGGAGCAGCAGCGGTGCACGAGTAATTGATCAAATCAAAGCCAAACCACTTTCGAAATACTCGAGTGTTTGTGATTGGGGGAGTGCTTGAAAAAATGATTTTGAAAAATAACGGTTTATGTTTGGGCTTTTTTATTCTAAAAGTAATTAATTTCATTACTATAAAACTTTTTCATCTAATGGAGAAATTAATGATAAATTTGAATCATAACCCCTTAAATAAAAGGTCATTATAGTTTTCTTTTCAATTTTGACCATTAATATATGATATAAAAGTCTAAATTTAAAATTCTCATTTATAATATTGACCAATTATTCTTTTATGACCCTTTCTCTATCTGTTTATATGGATGCTATAACATTAAGTACCATTGTATATTAGACTTTTGCTTTTTTACATTACTTAATAATTTTATGTAGAATAGGAAATTAATAAATTTAACCAAATAATTTTATTTTTCTCGAGTGGGACATTGGACTAAAGTTGGCTACTGGTTGGTCAGGCTTAATTTTTGGACTCACGTATTTGCTTTGCCTAATTGTGTTAGTCATGATATTAAGGTGGATCTAGTAGTGTCCCATAACAAAAGTATATATTAAATGCTAAATTAATAAAAAAAATATTGAAAGAATGATAAAGAGAATATCAATCTATTCATAAATAAACTGAACGAGACCCAAATATCATACAATTTTTTCTTTTAGAAAAGAATAATCAGCTATCTTAAATTTATCTTTTTTTTACGATAATCAATTCTTAAATTTTATTTAATTTATAAATAGATATCATGAACTTTAATTTTGTTTCAATTAATTTTTAAACTTTACTTCTTTTACAAAACACTTTCAACTTTATTAAGTTAACTGTATATGGGTTGGAGTACCCCTTGTACTCACTTTTAATATATTTCATTTTGCCTAGCAAAAAAAATAAACACTTTTAACTTTAATTTTATTTTAATTGATTTTGACATTTAATAATTTATTATTTTTATAAAAAGTTTATATTATCAATTTAGAATTAAATTATTTGTCTTGAATATCAATCATTCACTAATCTTTTTTTTTTGTTATAAATTTTTTTTAAAATATAATAAAAATACGAGTTTAGAAGAAATACAAAAAGAGAATGATAAAAAATATAAAAAAAAGTTTATTTTTATTTTTTCTTCTTCTAAATTATATGGTGTTTTAATATATATGAAAATAAAACTAAAATATATATGTACCAAAAAATTAATAAATAAGTGTGATTTAAAATAAATAAATGATTGATATTTTTTATTTTAGTAATTTAATCTCAATGTAATATAAGAGGTTTACCAAAAAAATTAAGATAAAATTATAATCAAGATATTTATTTGTAAAAATGAGAAAATTTAAAGATAAATTATAATAAAATTAAAATTTATGGTGTTTATTAATTAATAAAAAAATTTAATTGTGAGAATTAATTGAAATACACTTAAAGTTGTTTGTGATGTATATTTATAAAGAGAATTAAGTTTAAGAGATTAAATACTTTTTTCTTTTTTAAAAAAAATAAACTAAACGAGATAGACCCAAATTTATCTTTTCTCTTTATTTTTTTTAATATTTTTTTCTTTGTCTTTCCGAATCTATCCCTACCCTTTTTCTCTTCCATCCGGATTGTAGATTCGTAGGATCTCCATCCACGGCGGCGCCGAAGCCGAGCCGCTACGCTTGGCCATATATATAAATAAAATAATAATATTAAATATTAATATTTTTATGTTCTCACTTTGATATATATTAAAGTTCGGTTATATATTTTTAGGGTTTATATTTTCGTTTTTAATCATATTTGATTAGAATAATAAATTTGTTATTTCGAAAAATATTCAGATGCCAGATGAAAATATTGATGTTGTTAGTTTAGACAATGAAGAAATGGATAATGATTTGGACTTGAATTTAATTACACAAATACAAAGTCAAATACAAATGCGAACCCAAGTAGGAGCAATGACAATCCTTTGTCTCGTAGCTTTTGGGTTAAATATGTTGTGTACCATACGTTGTCCCACAAGTAACATTAGGGACTTCATTTCTCAAAAAGAACGTCGTAGGAATGAGTTGATGTCATACCTTATTCACACCGAACAATGTCGTGACATTATTCGCATGGGACCTGCGACATTCATTAACTTATGTGAACGAGTAAGGGCAACTGGATTGGTCAAAGATGCCTTACGATCAACAGTGGAAGAACAAGTGGCTAAATTCCTCCATATTATCGGACACAACGTTAAAAATCGAAGTGTTTCATTTTTTTTCCATCGATCTGGGGAAACCGTTAGTCGACACTTTCATAATGTGTTGAATGCGGTCATTATGTTGGAGGGAGAAATGTTAGTTCAGCCATCAGACAGCAATGTTCATCCTTATATCTTAAACAATAGTCGGTTTTACCCGTACTTTAAGGTAATTCAGTGCCAAACTAAAGTATTACATCACATAGACGTATTTGAATATTAAAAATAACGTATTACATCACATAGACGTATTTGAATATTAAAGCAAATATTTAAATTAATTTATTTTTAAATTAATTTTTTATAATTTTTTAGTTAAAATTTATATATTTATCTTTTAATTATAATAATTATAAACTTTTTTTTAACCTAAGGGCAAAATAGTCATCTTTCACAATTATCAATTAAAAAATTTATTTTTATCTATCACATCAATCAATTCATTCACAAACTTTCACAAACTTTCTCTACACTTTTCACTCACTTTCCCTTAATCCAAACAACCTCACTTTCCACTCACTTTCCCTTCAAATCCCTCCTTTTCCACTCCCCCTTTTCCATCTTCAAATCCAAACAAAGCCTTAGCGAGTAAGAGGTAGAGTCTGTAGAAGGGTAAGCTACACCAGAATTTGTGTTTTATGAGTCTGAATGTTCTACAGAAAAATACACATTTTGATATTAAAAAGTAAATATTTGTAAATATTTTTTTAACTCTAATTAAGTTAAATTCAATTGATTTTCAAACATACTTTCTATAATCATCATTTGAAATAAGAGGAGGATTGAGCCAAAATGGGTATAAATTTTCTATTTTATATGTCGACGAAACTTAAACTCGCAATGAATTGATTAAAAGTGGCAAAACATCTAATTTGGTCCCTTATAATAATTAATAGTTTCAATTTCGTCCTTTTATAATTTTTTGTTTCAATTTAGTCTCCAATAATTTAAAAAAATGTCAATGTGGGACTTTCCGTCCAAATTCCACAAACGACGTTAAATATGATGACGTGGATGTCATGTAGATGCATAGGTGGCATGCCTCCTCTCCCCTTTCTTTAATGATCTGGAACGGTCCGTTCTGAAACAAGAACGGTCCGTTTCGCTTGCATTCCTTATGTGTTAATTTTGCATCTGAAACGGGCCGTTCCAGATTAAAAAAAAACACACAAAAAATGCGAGCAGAACGGGCCGTTCTGATTTCAGAACGGGTCGTTTCAGATCCAAGAATTATTCTTAAATATCTTAGTTTTCTCTATATTAAAATTTTAATCGAGGTAAATTGTGAACCAAGATTGATTTTTTTTAAACTTTTTAATATAGAGTATCGTCTCAATTTGAAGGAATTTAATGGTATCTTTGGATTTCAAACCATAAGGAAAAAAAAATTCAAAATTATTTAATTCATACATGTTTTGAGGGATTGTAACAGGTCATACACAATGGGAGGTTGGTTAATGCAATTCATCTACATTCGTCATGCTGCCATTAAAATTATATATAAATTTATCGCATATACTATTTTAGGTCGTGGCGGCTCAGACGGTAAATTACACCTAATTGATTTATTGTTTATATGGGCAATAATGAAAAATAAGGATAAAAAGATCAACTCTGGTACATATTTTAATATTTGAATTTATGTTATGTTATGAATTTTTGTTTATATAAAAATATTTACTCTACAAATTAACTTATTGGTTTTTTTTAATCATTAAGAGAGATAAAAAAAGAAAGAAAAAAAAAAACGAGTGAAGTAATAAAATGAACTAGGTTGACATTCTCTGGGTTTTGAAAGAACTAGGTTAAGGTTTTTGTGAGAAGATGGATGAGGAACAACAAAACCTTGAAAGCTTCTTAACATGGGCATCAGAGCTTGGAATATCAGATTCAACAAGCAACAACCTATCTCAACACTCTCTTTCCTCGTGTTTGGGTTCTTCTCTTTCTGTCTCTCATTTTCCTCACTCTGGCGGGTACTCACAAATCCTTCGTATATTCCCTTACCATCATACTTGCTCATCGTAGTTAATAAATTTTTTGCATTGATTTATCGCACGAACAATTTCATTGCATTGTGATTATTTCCCTCTTACTCGTGACACGTGTTTTGTTGGGTAATTAATCAAAGCTGGTGATAATAATGTAAAAATTGATGCTTTTGACTTGTTTGTGTTAAATTTTTTTTTTTAACTCATTTTCTTGTATTATTATTTGGAGAATGCTGCAGTAGAGGTTTGGGTGCTGTGAGAGACCTTAGGAGGGGAGAAATTGTTCTCAGAGTTCCCAAATATGCTTTAATGACAAGAGAGAGTGTAATGGAAGATAAAAGGCTCTCTGTTGCCGTCAATAAGCACTCTGCTCTCTCCTCAGCTCAGGTTTCTTTCTTAACTGTGTTTGTTACTTAAGTGTGATGGTTCTGTTGTTGGTTTTGTTTATATTGATAAGTTGGAATTGTTGTTCCAGTAATTTAACTTTTGACAATATGCGCTGAAGCCATTAGTTTTTTATTATCTTTTGCTGGTTATTGGACCAAACTGAATAACTTTTGCTAAAATACCTGTATGTATGGTTGAACTTGGCTCTGAAAACACCTGTTTATTTGGATATGGTTTTATCGTTGTTATTCTGTGTCATTTCTTTTAATTGAATCTTTTATAATTCTAAGCTCTTGTGTTTTTGCAGATGTTGATTGTTTGCTTGTTGTATGAAATGGGTAAAGGGAAGACTTCAAGGTGGCATCCTTACCTCATGCATTTGCCACACACTTATGACGTACTAGCTATGTTTGGTGAATTTGAGAAACGTGCTTTGCAAGTTCAGTTTCTGTTAGACATTTTAGTTTATCTTGTATTCTTGTTAGGTTAGATTATAGCATCTTGGCTTATGATATTTATCCCCATTTCATTAGTACTTTGTTTAAGAATTTAGAAATCATCTTTATGATGTGGTCAGGTGGACGAGGCAATATGGGTCACGGAAAAAGCTACAGTAAAAGCCAGATCAGAGTGGAAAGAAGCTCATGCTTTGATGGAAGATCTCATGTTTAAGCCCCAGTTTTTAACATTTAAGGCTTGGATTTGGGCTGCTGCAACGGTTAGTCATTAGAAACCTGACCTTTAAAAGGAGAGGGGGGCAGGGGGATTATGCAGAAATTTTTTCTCAATTAATATTTTTTTAAAAAAAAAATTACCAAAAAAACATCTATTACACATTATTTATCCAAATAGACCTCTTTACTGTTCACACTCAGAATTTGGTTCCCGGAGAACCGAATTCTGAGCAGTGTTATTTATTTATTTATTTTTTTACTTTTTAGTTTCTGAGGAAGAGGAAAACTGGATTCAGAAATCAGAACGGCCCGTCCCAGATAAAAAATGTACACATGACAAATGGATCAGAACGGGCTGTTTTCCAGGGAGAACGGCCTGTTCTAGTTGCAAAATTGACACATTCCTAAGCTCAAAACAAAAAAATAAAAATAAAAATTTAAACACTACTCAAAATTCGGCTCCCCGAGAACCGAATTCTAAGCATAAAAAAATAAAAAATAAAAATAACAGTGTTTAGAATTCGGTTTCCCGGGAATCGAATTCTAAGTGTGAACAGTAAAGAGGTCTATTTGGGTAAATAATGTGTGCAGATGTTTTTTTGGTAATTTTTTATTTAAAGAATATTATTTGAGAAAAAAATTCGGATTATGCATGCTAAAAGTAGTGTATTTCTGAATATTCAATTTGGTTTTCTTGTATATACATGGACTGCAAACATTCTTAATTTTCTTAATTTTAATTTTGGTTAATAATACCAACAAAACTATTCCTTGCCTGAACCTGTACTTACATATATGAAATTGCAACAGACTAATTCTTACTTATCTATTTAAGTTGTGATACCTAAGTTAAATTATTTCAACAATGAAAAAACCAACATGTTTTATTGTATATTGATTAATACATTGGCTTATGTCTTCCTATACTTCATGGCATATTTATAATTATTTTCGTTGTCAGATCACTCTATCATTTAGATTTTAGTCACATTTAAACTTTAAAAAATGTAGATATCTTCTCGAACATTGCATATACCGTGGGATGAAGCTGGGTGTTTATGCCCTGTGGGTGACTTGTTTAATTATGATGCACCTGGAGAGGAGCCATCTGATGTTGAGGATTTAGAGCATTTGCTATCTAACACTTCCATCCCTGATTCTATCAAATTGAATGTAGACAACGATATAATGGCAGAGGCAGAACAGCTTGATCCTCATTCTCAGAGATTAACAGATGGTGGGTTTGAGGAGGATATGAATGCATATTGTTTTTATGCCAGGGCACATTACAAGAAAGGAGATCAGGTATTATACAATTTTTTGAAATTTTAAATGATCTGTTTGCTTTCCACTTTTATCTTTATTTTCTATTTTTTTCAATATTTTTTTGACTGAACTGTTTTTTGTTGGCCTAATAACTTATTTGAATGACACTGTTAGCACTTGTTTCTAAACCTGAGCAACGCATTAAATAAAATTCAAGTTGACTGATTGTATTTTAGGCTGTAAGCAGGTACCGAGTAACTCCATTTTCTGTCTTTGTATTATTTGTCCTTGACTCAAATTTATTATGTAGATACAAAATGATATGGCTGTACCTATTTGACTATGATTACTAATTACCTTTTTTTTACCAGGTTCTATTATGCTATGGAACTTACACAAATTTGGAGCTTCTTGAACACTATGGGTTTCTCCTACAAGAAAATCCAAATGACAAAGTTTTTATCCCTTTGGAACCTGCTGTATATTCTTCAACTTCATGGTCCAAGGAATCACTCTATATCCATCATAATGGGAAGCCTTCCTTTGCATTACTAACTGCATTGCGGTTGTGGGCAACCCCTCAAAACAAGAGGAGGTCTGTTGGACATCTTGTGTATTCTGGTTCTCAACTGTCTGAAGACAATGAAATTTTCATCATGAAATGGCTGTCAAAAACTTGTGATGCTGTGTTAAAGAATCTGCCAACATCTATTGAGGAAGACTCCTTGCTCCTTAATGCAATGAATAGCAGTGAAGATTTTTTTACTTTCATGGAGATCACAGAGTTTATGTCTTCTAAGGATGAGATTTATACCTTCTTAGAAGCACATAACATAAAGGATGCACATAGTTTTACTGACATAATTTTAACAAGAAAAGCAAGAAGGTCCATGGACAGGTGGAAATTAGCCCTCCAATGGAGGTTCAAGTATAAGAAAGTCCTTGTTGATTGTATCTCTTATTGCAATGAAATACTGAATTCTTTTATGAAATAATGGTTTCATGGACTGCCTGCAGTGTAGTTAAGGTTTTTTCCCCCTTTCTTTAGATAGTAGTTTCTTATTGATCGAAAGAAGGAAGTGAACGGATATTATATTACCAGAAATGGGTGAAATAGGAAAGTTAAGCTTTTTTTTTTTTTTTTTACAAAAAGTTCAGTTAGTTGAATTCCAGGGGCTCATTAGCGTTAGGGTAGGCTTCAAGATTTTATGAGTACTAGTAGAGATACTTACAGATTGTTTAACAACATGGTCTTCACATTGATAGGAATCAAACTCATCTTTTTGGTATGAGTATGTTTGTTATCAATTGGATCTATCTTTGTTGACAGAAATGTTACCTTATGTAACACTAATGTGGATCTTTTACGGATCTGTTAACTTTATATTGATGACTTTAAAGAGGTGTTTAGATGATTATAAAGCAATTTTTCTGTTGATCTTATGTTGGCATCCAAATTCTGATGGGAACAGTTGCGTGATGAAATCCTAATTAATCCATACAGGCTACAAAATATGGACCAAGCTTGTTTTCGGTCATTAATTTTACACATTTGTCATTACGTCTCAATTTGCCAACCTATTTGAATTCATTAACGGTGCATGTAATTTTATTTGAACTTGGATTAAACTTGAATAAGTTATTGATGTAAATTCTTAGTGATTATGGTTGATTTATTAACGTATGATTAAACAAGTTCATAATGATTTTTTTTTAGGTGTATCAAATGATATTAATTGTTGTGTTTGAACAACAAATATGTGTAATCAATGTAGGCATTAATATTGATAACTAGTTGTGACATGTAAGTATGCTATCAATACGATTGTGAGTTGTGTATAAATTGATTGATGTGTTGTGACATTGTTACAATTGATGTGTATGAATCTTATAAGAGCGAAGATTAACCATGATATGAATATGAAACGAAGGGAATTAATGTATAATTTGTAGATATGTATTATTACAATGTGATAATGCATCAAGTCTTGTTTGATATGCATCATGTGTATACTTGTTTTGGATGAGTACGATATGAAATACACTGTTATGGAAGATCTTCTTGTATAAAAACTTGGGGATCAATCCTTGGGTACAACTGAATTTGGCAAACCTTGATTTCGCTCATTGTGTGCATGTGACGAAACTTGTGCTACACAATTGTTCCAATAAAATCTTAGTTGTATATTCTTCTAATGTAGAGTGCATTGATTGTATATACCGACATAAATTCCTAGGTTACTTTAAGCGTTTTCTTATAACAATATATAATGTGATTTTGATTGATGTCACATGCATGATTAATTATAGTATATGTTCATTACATAAAACATTTGAACTTCTATTATTTTATCAATTGGATTTTTTCTTGTTCTATTTAGGATTGTATATCATTGTACTATTGTTATCGTGTTTATATTTATTGTTTTATTGTTTGTGTTGACTATGTTCAATGTCATGATACAAAGTTATATGTTTCTCATTCCTCTTTATTTATGTTTGTTTCTACTATATGTTGTTGAAAGTCATTTATATCACGCTGAAGTCACCACATATCTATTGAGTATTCATTCACATAATTAATTTGTTATTGTTTTTTTTGTGCAAGACAATACCACCAAATAAATCACAATAAATGAATTAAATCCACACTTGAAAATGATTGCTTGGTATGTTGAGTCCAAGAAAGAGAATCTAAATCGCATAAAAGATACATCCTTTTTTCACTATGAATCCTAATTGCTTAAAAAGCAAAACTTTTTTTTTTTTACTTTGAACAGTACTTCATATCTTGCTCCTCTAAAATTTATAACTTCTTTTTCATGGCTAACAATAAATTATTTTGACATTAAATTAATTTACCCATATTATAACTGTTTTTAGTAGTAAAATTTATTTGTTTATTTGAATTTATTATAATCAATTAATTTTATTTTTTAATATTTATTTTATTCAAATTTAATCTTTCAAATTTTGTTGCAATTATTTTTAATTTTTTAATTACTGTAATATTAAATTACTTTTCTTTTATCATACATTTATTTAAATTCTCAAAGTCTCAAATTTTATATCATAATTTCTATGATCTATTCTCAAATGCTGGAAATAAAAGAGAATTGCTCAACCTTTTATATTGACAGGGGGAATTGTTCAACCAATACACCAAATGTCCATAAAAACATCAACAAAATCATTTTACTTTTAAGCTCTCAGTCAAAAACTAACAAACATATTTCACCTAACTAATTATATATATATA